CTTCCTTCCTTCCTTCCTTCCTTCTTGTTATTTACATTACAAATATTAAGGATTTGTTGCTTGGTTTTGTTTTGTTTTTTCCACACTCTGAGGGAATATGTCTGCAAATCCATTTCAATTCATTTTATCAAATTAACTGGAAAAAAGGGACCTAGGCAAGCCCACTAACAAGGGATTAGTTTCAATTTTGGGGATATAACACAAACTGATATTGTAAGATCATACCTCCATATCTTTTAGCTCTACTTCCTTAATGTATTTTCAAAAATTACTGTTAACTTAAATGCTTATCAGGTTAAAGTGAAACTGTTAGTAGAATGGAACTGGATATAGCAATTTATGTTGAAATATTCCAATAGCAAAAGACATGAGCATATTCATACACTAAAAAAAAAGACGACTTGTGGTTATAATTTCTTTAAAATATATAATCAATTCTGTAAGGTGAAAGCAATCTTGTAAGTCTGTCTTTTAAGTTTTTCAGGATAAATTCCTCAGAACAGTTCACCAGTAAGCTGAGATCTCTCACAATGTACTGAATTTCCTTGCTAAAAATGGAAGTTGATTATACAGAACAGAGGACATCTATAATTTGATTTTAAATTTCTTTTAAAAACAAGATCCAGGGTTCATATTGGATTGGAGGGGCAATATTTGTCTTATACTGTTTTTCCTGATATAAATTCCCTCTCCCAGCTGCTATGTGCCCATTTAAGGAAAATGTATACCTATTTGCTTGCTTTCATTGCAGGAAACATCAGATCTGTGCTGGAGGAAATCCTGCACCCAAAATGTTTAACCCTTCCCCTTTTGTTAATGGTCATACTGATTCTTCTTAAAGGAACATGGAGATGGGACAGCTCTCCAATTACAGATCTCCAACATCTCTAATGTGCCTCTAATTTCACTTTTGAATAATTGCACTGAAAATACATGACAGAGTGAATTAGGCCATCATTAATGTGTTAAAAGGAAGAGCAATGTTTCATGCACTGAAATGTCATTCATAGCCAATGACCATGGTTAAGTTCAAACAGCTTTGTGAGGGACTGAAAGGTAGAAAAGCTGCTGTTGTGAAAGGTTCCTTAATGTCGCAAATTTTCTCTTCTTAGGAATTCCCTGATTCGCTGAAGGAGAAAACATACTTAAAAGAATGGCACATAAGCAATACTAAGATCTCAAGCATTCCAAGTTACATTGCCTTGTTTCAGGAACTGAGAATTCTTGAATTATCCAGTAACCAGATTACAGATCTCCCCGTTGAAATTGGTAGGTGTCTTTTTTTCTCATATAGTTACATCTGTTCAATTTATCACATTCAGTAAGGAATATTAAAAAAAATAACCCATATGTATGTTGCATAAACACATATATTCACATAGGGTAAGACAACCTTCACCATCCTGGCATCTTGCATATGTGGAGGCTACAACTCCCAGAGTTCCCAGCCCCTAGGATTTTTGTATGGGTATGAGCCTGGGGGAAGGACTGAATGGGAGCGTTATGATTCACAAGAGGGGAGCAAGGTTGATGCTTCTGCATTACACCTATGTACTCTTTTATAATTGATCCATCAGGGCAGGGGGTGGGAGCCTGTAACTGAGATTTACTGAAATGATAAATCCTTCAGGCTTCTTCTGAAATAGATATGGCACTCTTCCTCATGGCTAAATTAAAGTGCCAACTCTCTGTGACTGAACTGGCAGAAAACTATACTGGTATAACAATTGATGAGTTGATCCCTATCCTGCCCAGGCAAGATGTTGGCAAATGATGCTGTTCTTATTTACCGTGGACAGGGCACATTAAGAAAAGTAATTGGTAGATTATCCCAGCTTTCTTTTCTTCCCTTCCCACCAAATTTCATCTGCTGAGAGGAAAATATCTACCAACAGAGAACCAGAGAGGTGGCCTTGAAGCAAATATTTGGAAACCATTATGTAACCAAAAGGGAGAGAAGCATTCCTTAAGTCCTGGGAAGGGAGGCTGTATGTATGTATGTATGTATGTATGTATGTATGTATGTATGTATTATCCCACCTTTTTAAATATATAACTCAAGGTGGTGAACATACTTGATAGTCCTGCCTCCTGTTTTCCCCACAACAACCTTGTGAGATAGGTTGGGCTGAGAGAGAGTCACCCAGCCAGCTTTCATGTCTAAGGCAGACCTAGAACTCACAGCCTCCTCTTTTTAACCCCATGCCTTAATCATTATACTACACTGGCTCTCTTAGTATTAAGATTATATCTATCTATCTATCTATCTGTCTGTCTGTCTGTCTGTCTGTCTG